ACAAGACCCGCTCGCCTCTGCAGCACACGGAGGCCATACGTCTGCTCAACTTCCTCCTGAAGTGCATGACGGGCGACATCGTGCAGCGCTTTGCAGCGTCCAAAACTCTCAACTTCCTCGAGCAGCAGGGAGCCCAGGTCGCCACCTTCCACCTGGAAATCTCTTTGCGCGGTTCCCGGGCGCAAGAAGTGTACGATGCCCTGGACCGATTCACGGGCAACACGCTGATGAATCTCATCGGAGTATCGATGAAACGGGACACCATGCCGCGCTCTCCTCTGGCCAAGAAGCTTGCGGAGCAGGTCTACCCGAGCCATCAGGGCCCGCGCCCCCCTCAGAGGTAAACTCTTCGGAGTCTGCAGCTGCTCCGTCGGTGCCTTTGATTGAAGCGGCCGCAGCCCCCACCAGTTCAGTCCCGCCTATTCTTCTCCCCAGGGTTCGACTTCAGGGTGGTTTGAACAGCTGCTACCTCAACTCCTTTCTCTACCTTCTTGCTGCTGCCCTCTCAGCCTGTAAGCAACAGCACTTGCTCCCTCAGGATTTTTGGGACAAATCAGGGAAGCCACTTTGGGCCGCTCGCCTGATGGGGTTTAAACTTCTGGGTTGGCCGGAGCCTCAGCGACAGCACGACGTCGCAGAACTCATAGACTTCTTGCATTGTCGCATCGTCCCGGCTGCTGATGCTACTTGTTGCGAGGCGCGTAGCCTGACTGCAGATGGCATGCAAGTTGCTGAGCTGGCTCCGGCAACAAAGTGTCTTGTTCTGGTCAATGACCCGGCTCGACACTTGCCTGACGTGCAAGAGCTGATTTCGGCCTGGCACACACAGATCGGTCTTCAAGCCTACAACAAGCCGCCACCCTGGCTATTCATACAACTCCCGCGCTTTCACTATTATGCCCCGGGTTGGCCTGTTAAGCTTCAGCATGCCTACATCCTGCCCAGCGCACTCCGAATACCGGTCTTTGCTACGGCTGATAACATGCTTGTCCGGTGGGAGCAGTACAGGGTCATAGGGTTCATTCAGCATCACGGCTCCGCACCGACTGCTGGCCATTACACGGCTGTCATACGGACGCAGCACGACCAGCTCTGGCTCTTGGATGATGAAAAGGCTCCCTGTAAACTGACAGATGCTCAGGTTGATCACGCCAGCACCAATGCGTGTATTCTTGCTCTCGTGCATTGCAGCGCCTTTCATGCTCCAGCTGGCTTGCTAGCAGCTCAGTCAGACGATGGAATCCAACACTTCGCGAACCCTGCGGGAAATGGACCTCGACTGGATCTCCAGCAGGCTCAGTCTTCTGCAGATGCAAGTGCAAGGACTAGCGATGGGACTGGAACAGCTGCAACAGGCCCACTCCCGGCTCTCGGATCGTGTTCAGATCATGGAGGATCGCTTAGCAAGGAAAGAGGCACATAACAAGTGCCATTCGAGATCCACTCGCCTCGTCATGCTCTCTTTGGAAACACTTGACGACTGACAAGAGGATCACAAATTGTTTAAACGGCGCTACGGCGCATCATTTTGTCTTAGCTGGCGCCACATACGTGGCTTTAGAGCCTGCCATCATGATTGGCCGGTCCCACACGTGGACTGAATGGCACTCGCAGGACGAGGGGACTTCTTTCGCCGCGTGGTAAGAAGATGATGATGATGATGACGGCAACGGCGACCGTGATGATGACAATTAGTATGCACGTGGGTGGCGATGATGGTGATGGTGATGATGACAATGATGATGATGGTGATATTGGTTGATAATGTTAATGCTTTTTTCCAAAAGCATGTTTCGTCGCGTCTACAATGCACGGCTTCGTCCGCTTTGTACTGGACTTTCAGAAAACAATGGCTCTGTAAACTTCTTTGCCAAGTCAGCCTGCTGTGAAGCACCGAGGTGTCCGCCTGTTAAAGTCCGGAAACACTACTCGTTATTGGATACAAATCTGACCGTGCATGGCTATCCTTTTGTGCAGGAACGACCCGGGGTGCTGCAGCAGTACGCAGGTCCCTGCTGGCAGGCATGAGCTCTCTTGTACGGACTTATGAGCCTAAAATGATCTGTCGTACAAAAAGTCTGAGAGTCCGCAAGCTTAACATGGTGAGGATATCATCTTGTCGCAAGATTCGTGGTGTGGTTTTAAGCCGGCATGATGCAATCTAGGCCTGCGTCATGCAGCTTGCCGAGTTGAGGATTTCTACGTCAACAGGTGGCTGTCTTTTTCTTCCTGGCATGCTCAAGAGGGGTCACGGTAAGCCCAGGTGGGGATTGCAGGTTTCTGGCAGCGCTTTGCCACACGCAGTGCCTTACACTTCTGGGAGGCGGTGTTTGGGCATTTCGGGTTTGTCCTTTCCGTTTGTCCGTCCGCAGTGCAGGATACACTATGTCTTTAAAGCCCACACTCGCGGCAGGTTCAGGTGACCATTGTTGTCTTATAGTCAGCCGAAACGATGGCCGAGTTGGCGGGAGCACAGCAGGAATGGACTATTTCCGCGCTGTCGAGTTGTAGGCCTTGAACAGGTGTGCTGACGCAGTGTTCAAACCAGTAAACCCTAAACGGTCACTCAACCTACTGGCCTAAGCCCGGAAACCGAATGCCTGTCTCTCTGAATGCTTCAATCAGGATCAACGTCAGCTAGACGGCCTGGAGATTTTACCCGAAGCCCAAATCTGCGCAGGTGCAGGCCGAGGTGGAAGTCCGAGTGACAGGAAAGTGTTCTCCGTGACACAGAAGTTCTGCAGTGCATGCCGTAGCCGTCTAACACACAAGCGGCTCCAACCGTTCGGAACTACACGTCTAGGCATGTTATGACCATATCCAGCAAAGTACTGCCACGCACTCTTTCAGAGCCGTGGGGTGTGTCCCCAGGCTCAGACCTCTAGATTTTAGCGGCTTTCTCGCTGGAAACTCGCTCGGCCTGTATTGCAAAAGGTGTTACGACATGAGCAGGCCCCGCATGTTCGCTGAGTGCCACGACGGCTTTCCTGTACGTAGGGATCGAAACAGCCGGGTTCCACTAGTTTCGGCAAAGTTCAGCCCACCTTTTACAAGGATTGTGTGGAGGTGCGATAGATAGCGGCTTGGTATCGCCGCCGATGGCTTGGGCGTAGCTCTCCATGATCCTTCGTAATTGCACTCATGTTCAAAGAGCCCCCCGGAGTTGCATCCCTCTCCCTGTGCAGCATCCTTTTTGCTTGCTGCCCAAACAGTGCGGAAACTAGCTTAAAACTTAAAACGATAAGGGAAGTTCCCCCGACCTTCCTGTGTGCGGGGTTCGCCACGATCAGGCCGCAAGTAGCACCATGCTCCCTGCTTTGAGTGATGGAGATGTCGACAAGTCAGGCAGCGCGAGATGCAAAAAGCTTGGGTTCTGAAGACGCAGAAAGCTAGCCGTTCTGGCCCCAGAGCCGTAAACACAAACTCTGAACTGAAGCAGGCTGAAGAGGCTACTTGCGGTCTGGGAATCGTGGATGCAGTGGGAGCTTTGGTATCGCTGCAGCATCCATTAAGCATTGCAGTTCTGCTGGGGCAAAATGCCTGCGTGCAACAGTTGGAGGATTGTCACCGGCACACATCCCCGAATGCGAAACCAGAAGGTCTAAAGCAACTCCTATACATAAATGCAATTAGTTAGACAGACAAATAGGTAAATGCACACATGGATACATAGATGAATGCAAAAAGAGATAAGCGGATCATCAAATCAAGAAAGGAATAACGGAATAACTACATTTTTTACACTCCTCTACGTACGTCCGCACGTACGTACATACATAAATACATACATATACAATCACGTGATGTTGTAGGCATGTGGGCAGCAATCCACACAGCTCAACTGTGCTCTTGTCACGGTTCGCTTTGACATTGACGGCAAAGCTGCCAAAGCTCACCAGCAGGCCTGGAGGACAGGACAACAACAGTAATGGCAGTAATGCTGCAACAGGCCGTGGTGCCTCCGGACGATGTACATTCACGGACCCCAGCTCGAAACCGTCGGCAGATTCCAAGCCGGCCCGCAGCCAGATCCAATCAGACTTTTTTGTCAGATTCATCCAAGGTCCATTGGTTCAATTCAGGAATCAGGAAACCCCCAAAAGACAGGGCTGCACAGCAGGGTCCTCATTCTATAGACCTCCTTATCCGCTCCCTGTTTACCACGAGCCTCCGCAATCTTCCAGGAGTCAAAAGAAGCGGGCGCCATAGCACGGCGCGAGCGGGAACGTCGGAGACGGCGGGTCCTGGTTGAGCAACAACGCGAGCAGGTTCGCCGATATCTGCTGTTGTCACTTGTGGTCCAACTTGTCTACTCTGGGAGGGAGTAAGTTTTGCCGTGCAGTCTCAGTAAAGACTGTGGTTGTTCTTGCACGTGCATCGCCCACTCGCTGTCCTTTGGCATTTTCGCAGTTTTCGGTCATGCTTCACAAGGCTCTGCATCCCCAGTGCGAAATCTGAGCTTCAGTTCAGAGTTTGAGGTTGGATTTCAGTCGACTGCAAGATCTCTTCATCTTTAGGGCTGTAGATTTGTTGGGAAGTTCTACATGCGAAATCTAACATTCCACGTATGTGGCACCCCCACGTTTACGACCCCCAAACCTGAAAAAACCCGAACATGTCAGGGTGCTCAGGCGTCCGAATCTACCAACTTTCGTCTGCGCAAGCTCTAACTTCAGGTTCCCACACGCCGTCCATCTACATGAGATCATGCAACCTTCGGAGAAAGACCAGACTCATCACCACATCACGAGCAAGTTCGCAACTATAACTCCGCACGGGCTGAGCTGTAAGCTCAGCTTCACCGTAGGCCGTGGGCTTGAGAGCACCCCGAGCAACCCGAAACTATTACAGGAGATGCTCGAGGAGAACCAGCTTGAGCAGGCTCCTTGTGAGTACCAGGTTCAGGGTTTTGCGGTCGGGTCTAAAGAAGTGAGGATGTTTTCGAGAAGGTCTTTGAGAAACCTGTTGTCATCGGTGCACAGAGCCCTGAACTCAAATACCCAAACCTTATTCCTGAAGTCAGAGACCCTCTAAGAGACTCGCTGTCGAAAGGCTTAGGAGTTGGTCTACAGATGCGCAAGCATCAAGAAGGGAAACTTCACGTTTTCTTCAAAACTCTGTGATCCGTGTCTGTGCGTGTCCAGACATGTTTCGAGGGAGGGGTGCTCACTCCAAAGGTGCTAAGAGGGTGTCGTTGGTACCTACTCTCTTGGATCTCAGAAGGGTCTGGTCTAGGGTTCAATTGGGGTTTAGGGTTTAGAGTGTGGGGTGTGCGACTTAATTAGGGGTTTAGCCATCTGCCCATGAGCCGCGGTGAATATTCTTCAGCACTGCCGGTCTTCACAGCAGTAGTCCTGCTCCCGGCATAGTTGGCATCCATGTCGGTAACATCTGCAGCTCCGACCGCAAACCATGTCAGCCAATCCCACGAAACTAAACTTGAAGGCGTTCCTGATGTCCAACACTATGTAAAAGTGTACATGCCCCAAACGGGCAAAACTAGCATCCCAAAGCCATGAGTACTATTATCCAGTGTTTTCAGGTTTAGTTTGGACGTTGAGAACTGTGGGCTGTAGCACTTTGCGGGTTTGCTTCGTGGTGGTTGTTGTTGTTTACGTTCTGATGTTTGGTTCTGCCCTAATGTTCTCAATCCTCAGCTAGCAGCCTCCTCCTACTAAGAGTTCTTCAAGCGGTACGTCTGTGAGTAGACAAGGGTTTCCAAAAAATTGCCAGAAACCCTAACCTCCCTAAGCTCTAAACCTTAAACCTGAAAAGCAAAACCCTGTACCCGCAAGCCCCGATGCCCTAAACATCCAGAAGGTGTTGCTCGAGAAGCTAGGACGGCAGTCCGTCGAGGCCACCGGATATGACGGAAATTATGCAAGCATAGGGCGCAAGCACCGGGTTTGGTGCTTTAGGGTTTGCGGCTTTGGAAGTATTATTTCTCATGACTGCACGTTTCCTATCGGTGGGATGACGAGGGAGCCCGAGACACTTTGTGTTTCTGTCAGGAGAGCGCGATCAGCTATCGGAGCTGGCGGGCCAAGACCTTCGAGGAGGTTGTTGTTAGGCCAGCCCGGGCTGTTCGGTTTGTTCGTGACATGCTGGAAGGCAATCGCTCCACCGCAAACAGTCGCAGCAGTAGCAGCGGCAGCAGCACTATAGCAAGCAGAAGCAGCCGAAGCAGAAGAATAAGTAGGAGGAGGCTGAGGAAGGAGGAGGAAGAGGAGGAGGAGGAAGACTTGGCAAGACCAATCGCGGCAGCGGAAGCATGAGACCAGCACCAGCAGGCACGGGAGTAGTGGTGTGGTTTGTGGCAGTCATGGTAGTCTTCCTGGTAGTTCTCCTCTCCATGACTGGCCAATGCTGACCAGGTGCTTCGGAAGGTGTCCAATCAAAGGGTCCTGTCATTGGTGATTGTCTTGGCGCATGTATTCGCATGCCTGGGAGGAACGGCCATAACTAGTTAACTAGTTAGCGACTGTCAGGAACTAGGAACTAGTAACTAGTTGTAACAATCGTACCAAGACCCGGCGGCCACGCAGAGGAATCGACAGGCGCGCCAGCAGCAGTACTCTGCACAGAAGAAAGCAGACAAGGAGGAGGTGCCCAGGGGGTTTTGACAGAGAGGTTGTCCAACATGGCTTTGCCCCAAACGTCTCCCGAAATCCTAACCCTTAAGTATGCCTGAACCTTCGACCCCAGTCTGTTTGGGCTGAGACTGTACCTGCTGAACCGTACGACAGCTTCGCCAATACACGGACTACCCTTTTGAAAGAACAAAGACATGGGGCTTTCGACGTGTCTACGGTCCGAGCTTTTGCTTTCGCGATTCATGGCTCGACAAAGCTAGGCTTGATTTTGCCTGTTGCTTTCACGACTGCTCAAGTCAAGTCTTTGGTAGCTGCAGGGTGGGGAGGCTTGTGTCCTTGCAATCCCTGTTTCCAGTTAAGACCTACTGCAAAGGCAAAAACTTGGGAATCAAAGCAAGCGGTGCCGATGCAGAATCCTTATGCCGGGCCCTGAAACACAAGTCCAAATTAGAGCCACGCCCTGGGATGATGTCAAACTGCTGGCTTTTTTCTCCTAAAGGCCCATCGTGAAAAAACTCTAATCACGACTGCATATAGAAAAAATCACAGTCAAGTGCAGGCCCTCCGCCGCGACCAGGAGCACCCGCCGCTCCGGGTCAGGGTTTAGCCACGCCCCGGAACAACCCGCAAGGAAGGACATGCGGTGATCCTTTTGTAGCAGCCAGTGCAACCAGTAAGCGGAACGTCCTCGAGTCAAGATCCATCTTGTTCGGAGGACTCGCAAGCATTCAAGATCTCTTCACGGGGCTTCCACCTACCGATGCTGTTCGAATTTGGAGAGCACATTACCTGAAAGAGAGAGGTGACAAGCGCAAGTCCAGGTGCCACTGCTCCCGCTGCCGCTGCTGACTCCTGCCACTTCTGCTTGCTAATACCTTTACTGCTGCTCCCGCTTCTGCTAGCGCCACTGCTAGCTCTACCCCTACCGCTACCCCCATCGCCACCCCTTCTGCTGACGCTGCTACTACTACTACTACTACTACTACTACCACCACGACGACGACTGCTACTACTTGACCACTCCCACTGCCACCACCGCCGCCACCAACACCACCACCACCGCCACCACCACCACCACCACCACCACCACCACCACCACCACCACCACCGCCTCCACCAACCACAACCACAACCACAACCACAACCGCACCACTACCACTACCACGACCACAACCACACAACTACCACGACCACGACCACTATCACTACCCTGCTACTGCTACTACTACAACAACAACAACAACAACTACTACTACTACTACTACTACTACTACTACTACTACTACTGTGCTAAAGCGATACTACGACCACTCCAACTACTAGTACTACTACTACTACGAGCTA